ATATATGAGTTTGTATGTAATGTATGAATACAATATACAAGTTTCACTTTTTAAATGGAATTACTGAAATAAATCTACTTTTTCATGATATTCTAATTTTATGACCAGCACCTGTAGATATAGTTGGACTCACCTCAACGCAGCGCTCTGGCTCTGGAACCAGTCTCCTCGAGAGGGGTTGGACACTCTTGCACTCTGGAGTTGCCCATGCTGAGAGGCACTGAGCAGGAGTGGGCATGCTTATTGTCCCCGATCTCGGTGCCTGTACATTGGGGTTCACCCCTGTGAACGAGAGGATAGCCTTTCTCCGCCTACGGGTGGGGGGACAGGTCCTGACTGTTGTTTGTGCCTATGCGCCTAACAGCAGTTCAGATTACCCACCCTTTCTGGAGTCCTTGGAGGGGGCGTGGTTGGGAGGAATGCCCCCGATCTGATCCCGAGCGGTGTTTTGTTATTGGACTTCTGTGCTCGTCATGGATTGTCCATAACGAACACCATGTTCAAGCATAAGTGTGTCCATATGTGCTCTTGGCACCAGGACACATAGGCCGCAGTTCGTTGATCAAATTTGTTGTCGTTTCATTTGATCTGCGGCCGCATGTTTTGGACACTCGGGTGAAGAGAGGGGCGGAGCTGTCAACTGACCACTACCTGGTGGTGAGTTGGCTCCGTTGGTGGGGGAGGATGCCGGTCAGACCTGGCAGACCCAAACGTATAGTGAGGGTCTGCTGGGAATGTCTGTCAGAGTCTCCCYTCAGACAGAGCTTCAACTCACACCTCTGGGGGAAATTCAAACACATTCCGGGCAAGGTGGGGGACATTGAGTCRGAGTGGGCCATGTTCCATGCCTCCTTTGACGAGGCGGCTCACCTGAGCTGTGGCTGTAAGGTTGTCTGTGCCTGTCGTGGCAGCAACCCTCAAACCCACTGGTGGACACCGGCTGTGAGGGATGCTGTCAGGCTGTAGAAGGAGTCCTATCTGGTCTTTTTGGCCTGTGGGACTCTGGAAACAGCTGATAGGTATCGGCAGTCCAAGCGGATTGCGGCTCGGGTGGTCACTGAGGCAAAAACTCGGACGTGGGAGGAGTTCAGAGAGGCCATGGAAAACGACTTCGGTACGGCTTCGAGGTGATTCTGGTCCACCATCTGGCATCTCAAGGGGGGAAAGCGGTTCGCCACCAACACTATTTATGGTGGGGATGGTGTGCTGCTGACCTCAACTCGGGATGTTGTGGGTCGGTGGGCAGAATACTTCGAAGACTTCCTCAATCCTACCGATACGTCTTACCATGAGGAAGCAGAGCCTGAGGACCCTGGGTCGGACTCTCCAATCTCTGGTACTGAGGTCACCGAGGTGGTTAAAAAGCTCCTTGGTGGCAGGGCGCTGAGGTTGGATGAGATTCGCCCGGAGTTCCTTAAGGCTCTGGATGTTGTGGGGTTGCYTTGGTTGACATGACTCTACAATATCGCATGGACATCGGGGGCAGTTCCCCTGGATTGGCAGACCGGGGTCGTGGTCCCCCTATTTAAAAGTGGGGACCGCAGACTGTGTTCCAACTATAGGGTGATCACACTTCTGAGCCTCCCTGGTAAGGTCTATTCGGGAGTTCTGGAGAGGAGGGTCCGTCAGATAGTCGAATCTCAGATTCAGGAAGAGCAGTGTGGTTTTCATCCTGGTCGTGGAACAGCGGACCACCTCTACACACTCAGCAGGGTCTTGGAGGGTGCGTGGGAGTTCGCCCAACCAGTCTACATGTGTTTTGTGGACTTGGAGAAGGCGTTCGACCATGTCCCTCGGGGACTCTTGTGTGGGGTGCTCCGGGGGTACCAGACCCATTGATATGGGTTGTTAGGTCCCTGTATGACCAGTGCCAGAGCTTGGTCCGCATCGCCGGTAGTAAGTCGGACTCATTTCTGGTGAGAGTTGGACTCCGCCAAGGTTGCCCTTTGTCACCGATTCTGTTCATAACTTTTATGGACAGAATTTCTAGGCGCAGCTAAGGTGTTGAGGGGATCCTTTTTGGTCACGTTAGGATCACATTTCAGCTTTTTGCGGATGTGGTCTTATTGGCTTCATCAGATCGTGATCTCCAGCTCTCACTGGAGCGGTTCACAGCCGAGTGCTAAGCGGCCAGGATAAGGATCAGTGTCTCCAAATCCGAGAACACGGTCTTGTGCCGGAAACCAGTAGCATGCCGCCTCCGGGTCTGGGAGGAGGTCCTGCACCAAGTGGAGGAGTTAAAGTATCTCGGGGTCTTGTTCATGAATGAGGGAAGAATAGAGCGGGAGATCGACAGGCGGATTGGTGCTGCGTCTGCAGTGATGCGGGTGCTGTACCGGTCTGTCATGGTGAAGCGGGAGCTGAGCCAGAAGGCAAAGCTCTCGGTTGGTCGGTCTATGTTCCTACCCTCATCTATGGTCACATGCTTTGGGTAGTGACCGAAAGAAAGAGATAGCGGATACAAGCGGCCGAAATGAGTTTCCTCCGCAGCGTGTCTGGGCTCTCCCTTAGAGATAGGGTGAGAAGCTCGGTCATCCGGGAGGGACTCAGAGTAGAGCTGCTGCTCCTCCATGTCAAGAGGAACCAGTTGAGGTGGTGTAGCACCTTTAATGTGGCTACAGTAAATAGTTACTCTAAGACCAGTACTAGGTTCAGCTTTGGGAGCAGATAATAGATGTAAATGTAATAATGACCACTGACCAGTGAATAACTTTGAACTGCCGGCTTATTATTTAGAAAAAATAAAAAATATATTTTACAAACAGTTTACACACACAACACAATTTCAACAAGAAAAATAAAACTGTTCCCTGTCTTTTCCTTTGAATTTTCAGCTGTGAAACCCTTTTTTATGTTTAACCTGATGTAGGTCCTAAAGGGATAATGTTTCTCAACCTAGGTTATTGTTCTATTTTAAGTTGCTGTTTATCTGTTTTGACGTACAGTTTTATATTGTATTCTGTTTGAGTTAACTCTGTATTCTTTCAGAAGTTAAGTTCTCTAAATCTCACTTTTAACCACTTCTTTTCAAAAAAGGTTCACATCTCAACAACACTTTAACAGCATTGAATAGAAAAAAAAACAATAAAAGGTAAAAACAGAAATTGATTCAGCAAAAGACTGAATAGACCCTTAAATCAAATTGAATGTCCTTATCCTTTTGTGAATCCGGAAAGATTAGTGTCGTGTCTCTGAGTCCACTGCTATTTTAGCAGCAAAATCGGGTGAATCATACCAGTTCTGATGAAAACAACATCCAGCAGAAGAGTGCAGCTCCTACTGGTTCAAAGTTCAAGGGCTCTCTGGTTGGTGGCTCGCCATCTCAGTTCTCAATCCCGACATCCAACTCGACATTCAGCTCGATTTTTCCCAGTCCAGTTTTCCAGTAGAACTTTAAAGGCCTAGTTTCATAACCAATAAAAGTGCAAAGAAAGGTCTGTTCAGCTAATTTGATACTAAATAAAAAATACACTCGCCAAGATGGCGGCTGAACATCCTAAGGGAAAGCCATACTTCACCTAACATTCATTCTCACAATTTCTTTTGACACAAACAACATACATATGCTAACATAGCTCATCTTAACAAAAGAAAATACATCATAAATAAAATTACTCACATAAAGTAAAATGCTTTTTTTTTTAACTCACCAAGTCCAGTTCAGAAATATATACAGTATCTCCTGAAGGCAAGGACAGGTCGAAATTATGCAAAAACAACTCCTTTAAAAGACAAAAATATCTTTAGATAACATTTATAGACTCTTTACTTTTTAGTTTCTCTTATTTTTTTCTCTTTACACAACAAAACTTCATCTGCTTCTCGGCTTTTCTCCTTCAGCCTCATGCTTTTCTCTAACCAGGAAGAAGAAACACCTGGTTGGCTAGAACTAGTCACATGGGTCACGATGCAACGTGGCCCTTCAAAATAAGAGCCTTCACTGACAACACTGTATACCATTTTAACACTGACAAAATAGGACTAGATTTTTAAAGCTTTTTAAACACAAATAAAACATTATAAACATAAAATATAGCTTTTCTGACACTTCTTTTCACAGTCTTTTTGTAAGTTTTTCTTAACTGTGTTGATCTGTTTATTGTTCATCATTTGCCATGTGTTTTTATGGCTACTTTTATAACAACTCATTTTAATTGAGGGCTATTTTGACCAGGGTTACAGTGGCTCAGACATCTGGTTAGGATACCTCCTGGACGCCTCCCTGATGAGGTGTTCTGGGCATGTACCACTGGGACGAGGCCCAGGGGAAGACCCAGGACACGCTAAAGGGACTATGGTTCTCAGCTGGCCTGGGAACGCCTTGGGATTCCCCTGGAGGAGCTGGTCCAAGTGGCTGGGGAGAGGGAAGTCTGGGTTTCTCTGCTTAGGCTGCTTCCCCCGCGACCCGATCCCGGATAAGCGYCAGAAAACAGACGGACGGACGGCCACAGTTAACGCAGARCACTGGCACAGGGGCCGAACATCCAGCAATTAATCATTTTGTTAATAAACCAATTATTACAAAGCTCTGTTGCTTTTGAAATAGTTTATTTTGCTGCATTTGATCATGGGTAAAGCATWCACAACCCTATATGTAGTGATAGTAAAACAATATCAAAAACAAAAAGAACACATATTGCCTCCTATTTAACTAAARATTATTTTGACTTCTCTGACTTGTCTAATTTTTAAACCTATTTTATATTCACCTCCATAGTTTTATCTTCAACTGCGTTTTAACTGTCTTAGATATTCATAGAAATGGTTTTTACCAGCTTCTGGTCAATATTCGGATGCTTCTGTAGATACCAAACATGTCTATGTCTAGCTAAAATAACAGAGGAATTAATGTAGAAAACTGGAGGTTTGGACTTAAGAGATGAATGAACCAAGTGGCGGGCCGCATTTTGGTCACTCGCGGGCCGAATGTGGCCCACGGGCAGTCAGTTGAATAGCCCTGGCCTATGGGTTTAATTAACGAGAAAACTCACTTGTAGCCGGATCACACACCGGCTGACCGGTGAGAAACAGAGCCAGTCGCTGCTGACTGACGGTGCTTCTTTTTTTTTTTTTCTTTCTCAGCCCATGGGAGAGCTGCGTTCATGTCAGAGTCCCCATGAACA